AATCAAAATTTGCCATCTTGTCGTCGTTGACTTTGCACATAGATAAAGAACGCTGTGAAGAGTACAGAAAGGGAGGTTGCGTCGACGTGCGAGGCGTACAGCGGTCGCGAGACGCGATCCAAGATGCACGCCAAATTGAGATCGTAAATTTAGTGCTATCTTAGAGGCATGACACTCCAAACTAAGACCGTAGCGCCATCTTAGCGGCAGGACGCCGCGACGCCGACGCTACTTGCCGGCAGCATCACGCTTGAAGTGGAATCGCTCGAAGTTGGCACGGTGCTAGAAGACACTTTGGAGAGCAGAGCAGACCGCGATTCGTCATCGCTGCAGGCCTACAACGCGTGCAATGCTCGACCACAGATACAAAGCGCTCTAAAAGTGTTAAGAAGCAAAGGACCGCATTGGCACGTCGTAGTCTTCGTCTTCTGCACTTGTGGCGACAATCTCCCCTTCCAGTGGATCAAGATTGCGATTCCCAGTAATATTCATGGAGTAACGACGCCCAGCACATGCTGTGGAGCGTTTGGAAAGGCTTGTAGCTCACAATGCTCGGGCTTCCGCACTCGCACTGATCTAGTATCGCAACGCGTGTGATGGTATCCAAGCGTCCTCGTATGTCGAAGATCGCAAAATGTGAAAAACACTCGATTCCTATGACGTGGCACTCGGAGAATGTCCCATTTCGGCGCAAACGTTCAGTCGTGTAAAAACAAGTGTAAAAGCGAGCACGACAAAGGCGAAACGCAGAGCTTTTACTAGAGAATTGTAGAAGCCATGAGCGCTGCTCATTCCGCAATTTGCGCTCCAGGGCCTCGGTCGCACGGCACCGCGTCGCACGGCAGGGTCGTCGCAAGCGGGCGCCCTGTCGACTGTGAACGGTGAAACTTGTGTGGCCGAGGTCCTTCTTTCGCCGCGAATCCTGTAGTATGGGGCGTTGGCTTGCCACGTACGCAAAGATCGCAGCGTTCTCATGTAGCATGCGAATTGGCTTGGGTCTGCGTCGTCGAGGATCGATGATCACCACACTCAATGGGTGGTATCCGAAACGTGTTGAGCAACGTCGCAGCCGTCGACGCGCCGAAACAAACGCTGACAGCGACAACCTCGAGCGTTTGTGCGATGAGTACGACGATGGCCTCGACCGTGTCACGCTCGTGGCGCCGTTTCGAGGCTTCCGGATAATGGTACCGGACACCAATAGCCAATCGGCGACAAGGGTCAATAAAAAGACCCATGTCGGCGATTTGCCGACGAACCATGCCGTCGCCGGCCCAGCAGTGGGCGCTACGCGCGCGCCGCGTCGCGTTCGGACCGCGCTCGTCATCTTGCGGCGCAGATCCAAATGGCGCACAGCTCAAGCGCCTCACGCTTGACGTCCTACGGCTTACACACGACAGCCAGCATTGAGATCGCTGGCGCGCAGCGACCTCTAGCCCGCAGAACCTCTTGCTCGGCGGCGCGTCAGATGCGATCTGTGCTCGAGCTACCAGCGATTGGATCTTTTCTCGGCGGTCACACAGTGGTCGCGCGCCCATGGTCCACGTCATGCTACACCGGACCTCGTTCTTCAAGGCGCCCGCGCAGCGCTGGCTCGCGTTTGGCACAACCACACACCTTTGACTCTATATGCGTCCCACAGAATGACTAGCATTCCGTGTTTGTCCGAGACACACGAGGTCGAGATTTCTGCGCTCTTTCCGCGCTTCTCCTGATCTCGTAGCACCCGCTCGTCGCGCATGGCGCGAGTAAGGACGCCTTTGCGAGCTACGTAGTGGACGCGCCTCAAGGCCTGGTTCATGTCGACCTCGCGGTGTCGGCTGCGAAGGCGCCCAAGGACAATGAGATGGTGCCGCCGGTGGTTTTTTCACACTGAGCCGGGTCCGCCCGCCGCAAACCTCTCACCCCGGCAAGTCGCGCCGTACCATCGTTGCGCAGAAAAGCGTCGTCCACACACCCAAGACTCGATCCTCGCATGTGCATCATTCTGCAAGCGCTCTCGGGCAAGAACACCGAGAAGCAGACGATCGTCAGCTGCCTCGTCTCGACGCTTCAGGCAGGTACAGGCGCGGCGGCTACGGGCTGCCTCGGTGCGCTGATGGTCGACGGTATCGACCCTCATCTCGTCCTGCGCCAGCGACGACCTACACACACGAAGTTCTTCAGCCCAAGGGTCCGCTCTATGACTACTAGATGTACGGTGTGTATGTATCTGTGAATGTAACCCGTGTAATTTATGCAGCTATCTCGACCCAAGTGTTGTGTGTTGGACCAGTTGGCTTGAAACTTGCGATCAAAGCGCCATTTGCTGTCGAATGGAGAGTGGCTCGGGCCTTATAAAGTACTAGTAGCTGCGTCTGGTTGGACGCATGACTACGCCGACGATGACGCTATTTGCGCTGGCCAGCGCCTAGAAGATCGCATTGGCAATCGAAAGACGCCTCACGTGGCCGCCCAGCACAAAAGCTGCTAGCATCGACACCACCGTAACCGCTTCCTAGCTTTGTGTCTCCAATTGCGCAGTGTCGTGTGCCCTTCACCACCGTCTTTCTCGATGCTCGACACGAGCTCGTAGGCGGGAACTC